ACTATAGCGTATATTTTTGCTAACCTATAATAAACTGTACGCGGCCGCCTGGTGATGTCATTGCAGGCTGTTTGAAATAGGCCCTGGTTTAGAATTAGCGCTAAACCCATAAATTGGCGCTGCGTGTGCCGGGGACTGTCAGGCGAAATAAGCAGGTGGGCTGGTTATAAATACATGACATGATGTATCGCGCTCGCTCTGATTGCTGCGTCCTCGCGTCTGTTTGGCCCAAAGGCTCGAAAGGAACTGGACAATTAAGGAGTTTGTGTTCACTCGAGGACCACCGGCCCGAGGAGAGAGGGAGAGAGGAAGAGAGAGAAAGAGAGAGGGAGGGAGTGTGTGAAACAGAGAGTGAAAGGAGGTATGATAGGACAGAAAGATGTGGAGTTACAGAGAGAGTTAGAGAGAAAGAAACACAGAGAAACAAAGAGCAAGAGTGAGAGTGAAAGGAGGGATGGATGGGATAGAAAGATGTTGTTAGAGAGAGTGACAGAGAGAGAGAGACAAAGAGAGAAAGGAGGGATGAAAAGGATAGAAAGATATGGCGTTAGAGAGAGAGAGAAAGAGGGAGTGTGTGAAAGAGAGAGTGAAAGGAGGGATGGACAGGACAGAAAGATATGGAGTTAGAGAGAGAAAACAGAGAAACAAAGAGCAAAGAGCGAGAGTGAAAAAAGGGAGGGACAGGATAGAAAGATGTTGTTAGAGATAGAAAGAGAAAAGCAAGATAGATAGGATAGAAAGATGTATAGCAGACAGAGAGAGAGACAAAGAGAGAGAGGATGGATAGGATAGAAACATGTGTAGTTAGAGAGAGAGAGAAACACAGAGCAAGAGTGAGAGTGAAAGGAAGGATGAATAGGATAGAAAGATAAATACTAAGAGAGAGAGTGAGAGAGACAAAGAGACAAATAGAGAAAGGAGGGATGGAAAGGATAGAACGATGTATAGCAGAGAGAGAGAAAGGAAGGCTGGATAGGACAGAAAGATATGAACTCAAGAGAGAAGAGACAGCAAGAAGACAAAGAGAGAAAAGAAGGATGGATAGGATAGAAAGATGTGTAGCAGAGAGAGAGAGAGACAAAGAGAGAAAGGATGGATGATAGAATAGAAAATGTGTAGTTAGAGAGAGAGAGAGAGAGAAAGGGAAAAGAGGGATGAATAGGATAGAAAGATATGTAGTTAGAGAGAGATAAATGAGGGATGGACAGGACAGAGAGAGAAAGAGACAGAAAAAAGAGAGAGAAACAGAGTGAGAATGAGAGTGAACGAAAGGAGGGGTGGATAAGATAGAAAGATATGTAGTTAGAGAGAGAGACAGACAGAGAGAGAGAGTTAGAAATGAAAAGTACAAACATTTGTTAAGAATTACCACATATTGTAAATACCACATTTTATAAACAAGATAAGATTTTTTATTTTGATTTTAGAATGATTAAAATTTAAAAAAAAAGAATTGTTACTGGGGGAGGTCAAGGCATCGTTCGATATCGAGAGTTGCACAGCGAGAAAGAGAGAGTGAAAAGATAGACAGATAGGCAAATAGATGTCAAAAGTATAGAAAATCAGATACTAATATTTAAAAAGTCAATTCTTTAGTATCAGAATTGAGTTTGAAATTTTGGGGTTTGTGACCAGTAATGTCAAGATACAGTATATTTATAATTTTTTGGCTCTGGATTCGATACCGATCTCACCCCGAATACCAATTTTCTGCTTTTTAATGATATTATTTACAGAAGATAGATAAATAAAGAGAGATAGAGAATGAGAAAAAAGATAGATAGAGCAAGAGAAAAAGTATAAAACAGCAACCACAACCAAAGACAGTAGTGCGTTGGATTTATGGCCTGGGTGGGACGGTGCGTGCTGGCGAACCACAACTATGTCCATACGGTATAAACGGCATCCAAAGAAAACTATCCTGAGGAGACCTGTGGGGGGCAGGGGGGCGGGGGGGGGCCGGAGGGGGTGCACGGGGCGCGTTTGGCCAGTGCAGCGGAAAATAATAGACAGGGGTTGTTCTGCGGAGGAATGTCCATCCGTCATTCTGTCACGGAGCTGAGACTTAAGTAAAGGACAAGACTCAAGCCACAACAAACCGTGGAACTGGGAGCAATAATGATGAAAAAATACAGCCTACAATTAAGGCCCCGGACCACCTAGCTCTTAAATAGGGACCGCTTTAGTTTTTTTTATTAGTTGATATTTTTGTAATCCATCAGAAACGTGCTAAAATGAGTGTAAAATGTAAACACTGCATAAAAAAAAGTCAACGAATTTAACCACAAATGTGCACAACTATCACGATTATACTCAAGTTATAATATTCTTCAGCTACCAACAACTAAACACTGTAAAAGATCGATTTAAACAACGCATTTTCAAGAGCCTGTGATTAAAACAAGCGTTCTTGGTCCTGTTTAGGAGTTTGATTTTCAACTAAAAATTATTAGAGTAACTGAAAACTGTTGGCTAATGATTAATGTTATTGCAACGTTGTTTTTTGTTTGAGAGGAACTTGTTTAAGAGCACAAATCAGCTCACTTGGTACAGATACAGCTGAGTAATAATAATAAATAATACATCTTTATTTACTGTATTTTTCGGACTATAAGGCGTTCTTAAAATCTTTTAAGATTCTCAAAAATCAACAGTGCACCTTTATATATTAATTCAGGTTGTGCTTACTGACCTCGAACTGATTTTATGTGGTACACGACGCTCAGAAATGGTTTAGTACAACTAAGGCTGCGTTCAGACGGCAGACTGAAGTGACCCAAATCCAATTTTTTGGCCCCTATGTGACCTGTATCTGATCTATTAATGACAGTCTGAACGACACAGATCCGATTTTTTCAAATGCGACCCAGGCCACTTGGATATGTGCTCCTAAAACCGATACATATCTGAACTTTTGACATGTGACTTCAGTCTGAACAAGCCACAAATGTCACTATTCTGTGCTGAAGTAGGCGAAAATTGTTAATGAACTCCATGTCATTGAAGTGAAGCACATCGCCACTCACCATTCACTCTATGTCTCCACATCCACACGTTCCTTTCAACGGACGTCGCTGCCGCTGCCCCACAAAACACCACGGCCAAAAACCTCGTCCTTCTCCTACTCAATCTCCTCCTTAAAATAAATCAGTTGTACATGTTCTGGCTCTGGTACGAGAGGAACTTTAAAATCTCCAGGTGCTCAATGCTCCGTCCATGTTTGGACAACTTCCGTAAACACAGAGACGCTCGCTGCGGTTGACGTCGTCGTATCTCCAGTGTCACATGCGGGACACTTTTGGGTCGTTTAATGTTCACACTGGAGTCACATACAAGTCGCATTTAATTGGAAATGTGAACGACCTCGCAAAAACATCGGATTTCACAAAACAATCTGAATTGAGCGTTAAGCCCTGCACTCTGAATGTAGCCTTAGCCGCACTGCTTGATGGATTATTAGAGCATTATGGCGACTGTAGTCAGGAGCCTTGCTGAGTAAAGGGTGAAGTTTACTTCGCCCTGCTGCCATCGCCTTGTCGCAGAAAGGATACATGTATGGCCTGTTTACACGAGAGCGCTTGCTAACACTAAAACAACTAAATATTTTATTGGAAGTGCCTTTCGTTTAGACGGTGACGGCGTTTTTGGGGCTTAAAAACATAAAAATCGGAAACCACCCTCCAAAGTGGAAAAGTTGAATACGCTCCACCGTAGCGTTTCCGTCTACACTGCCCAAGACACAAAACTCTGGTCAGATCTGCTCACGTCGCATACACATTTATGTCACATACATACAGCACACAGAAACAAACATGTCGGTTGGCATACATACCCAGTCAAATTCCACACACTTTTGCATCACCGTATGTACGCAGATTTCCTCCCAAAAACGCTCGTCTAAACGCAGAATAAAAAGTGATGACGCAATGCCACTTTTGCATCTTCTGTTCAGACGTCATCATATAAATGTAGTCATATTCCACTGAGTCATGTCCTTTAGTCCGACAGAAGCTCATCGCATCAGTGGCACAGGGAGCAAGCAGTTTTTAAGTTTTTTATAAGTTCCATTTTTGTAAAACATGAACAAGTGTGCGCAAAGCTGCATTAAACACATTATTACTCAGTGTATATTTGCATCATCCTCGTAGGAAATTAAAAAAAAACAACTTCAATTATTCACCCAGATTCACATTCATAATACACATTATTAACGCCGGGCGAATTACGCCACAATCTGCCAATGGATCGTGGACACCAGGGCTAAGGGATCAGTCTCAAGTGTCGTCGGTTTGTTTTGCTTAATGCTCCTTATAATCCAGCACCTTATGTATGAAAATAGACGAGAGAATTCAACATTACTGATATTGCACTGTATAATCTGGTGTGCCCTATAGTCCGAAAAATACAATATAAAAAAGAACAATACCGAAAACATAAAAATAGCATGTAGAAGGCATACAAAAACAGACATGTAAACAGTTCAATCTGTTTGCATCATTGTCTGTTCTTTATGGTCAGATTTTATTATAATAAAGCTCAGATTAAAGTCAAACGCGCCTCAGACAGAGCAGTACTTGAAGTTAGCATCACATAGGGTAACCAAATGTCCCTATTTACCCGGGACAGTCCCAGTTTTGAGCCCTGCGTCCCCTGTCCCAGCAGATTAATCTAAAACCACTGATTTGTCCCAGTTTTACACAAGAACTGTCCCAGGTTTCCCCATTTTTGACCAATTTGATCCCTGCCAACAGTAAATAGAGGCATAAATTGTCACTTGTTTCAGTAAAATACAGAAAAGCTGCTTAAATATGAACAAAACACAACACAGCGCCGAGTACAGAACAATTTTCCCGATTATGCACTCGTTTCTCATTTTTATTATTACCAACTAACCCTATTTTGAAAATCTAGTCACCTTGGCATCACAACCCCAAAAAAGTTGCTGCAAAGTATCAATCATTTCTTCTCAAGTTCTTCAGAGTACCAATAGACCCACGTACCATCTTGCTTTCGAAGAGGTCGTGGTAGGTCTTCAGCACCAGCACGAAGTGAAGCACCACGTAGAGCTGGAGAGGCAGGGCCCAGCGCGGGTTATAGGGCAGCTCCTTCCCCGTCACCTGAACACACAAAAACACAAGTGTGACAAAACAATACACACATCTGAACAAAGCAAGATAGACAACAAATAGCCTGATACCATAAATCTGACCTATTGCATTTGTTCTTATTGTTTATCCAATCAGAATGAATGTATGGTCAAATTTGGCTTGATTTATTGCGATGAATTCACAACAATTTTGACACTAGCAGCCGATATGTAGCAAAGACTTCAGTTATTTCAACATTTCACCAAAGAATCTGGTTTAGCTCTGTGAAAATTAGGTTCTGATATACATGTAATTCTCATTTAGTGGTTATGTTTATTATCCAAAATGTTCACTAAATCCAAAAAATAAAATTATGTATATTGCTAATCTCTCTGAAAATTGTTTTGTTTTGTTTTGTTTTAAAGAACTAGTTTCCCCCTAAAAGAGTTGACTCCTGGTTTGACAAATAGAGCCGCTTTGGTAAATTTGGTAGTTACCACAAAGTCAACAAAATAAAAGGGCAGATCACAAATGGCCCGTTTGTTTTTCAGTAAAAGTGCTGGTAAAAGTGGGTAGGTGTCTCAGAGGTGGTTGGAGTGATCTATATTTGAGCTTTTATTGCCCTGAGTCCGTCTTTTTTCTGCGTTTGGTGAAAATGAGCCTGTGGTGTTCCATTTACAGACCTCTGCATGTTTATGAGCTGTGCTGGTTTTGTCCCCAACACACGAGTTGTGTTGTAACAATGCACAGAGTCATAGTCAAGTGACGTGGAGATACACACATGTACACTATATATGCGTTTATACTACGCTACATACTACAATGGTTAACTGCCATGCGTTATTACTTCATAGCGCACAAGTAGTCTGGTGTTTTGTCGAAATGCGCTACCCTGTCGACCTTACGTTTTTCTGTTTACAGTTGTATAGAGCCAATAAAGCTAACGTCCGCAGTTTTACAACATATTTCATTGGATTAGAGACTCGGGTTTGATTCTGTTTGTACACAGTGATCACTCTTTATACCAGGCATGTCCAAACTATGGCCCGTGGGCCAATGCGGCCCTCAGACAAATTTTTTATTGGCCCTCAGGCTTCCAGGTGAATTGGCCCAAATGACCTTGCATCAATTAAAAATAAAATTTTTACTGCAAGTTTTTTTGAAAATCTACCTTTATAAAGCTAATAGTTAATATTTAGTGTGTGGTTTTAAGGATCTTAGCGTGAATAAAGCATCAGTCTACGGCCCTCGATCAACTCTCTGCTTCGTCTGTGTTTAGATTTGTGGCCCTTGATGAAAAAAGTTTGGACAGCCCTGCTTTATACCTTACTTCTGTACAATTTCAACTCATTTATATGAATATGTGTATTAGTTCATTTGGACAGTCGTATTCTGCTCAAATAGGGCTCCAACTAAAGGGAGCACTTATCGACAGGCCAATTTCACCATGGAATCATGCTCCCACTGGAGAATCACAATCCGTGTATCATTCATTTGTTTTTCAATATAAAACCAAAAATAAGAAAATGAAAAAAATAACTATTTTGTTCATTACTTGTCTCCAAAAACAAAATGAAAAAATGGATAACGATTTTATTTATTTATTTTTTTTCAGTTTTTGATTTTTTGTTCCCTGTCTCAGTCCTGGTCTCAGTCCCAGTCTGGTCCTGGTTTCAGTCCTCGTTTGGTCCCAGTCTCAGTCCTGGTCTCAATCCCGGTCTGGTCCTGGTTTCAGTCCTGGTTTGGTCCTGGTCTCAGTCCCGGTCTAGTCGCGGTCTCAGTACTGATCACCCAACAGTCTACGCAGGCGCACCTCTGGGCCCCTCCCGACACTCAGTACTGGTTTAGTCTTATTTTTGATTTTGTTTTTTTTATTTTAAAAATTAATGAACGAATGATACACGGATTAATCACCATTATTCACTCATTTCTATGAATTCGAGGAGAGGAGCTCATTTTGACAGGCCCATGTCTTCTATCAAATAAGGCTCCCACTATATTAGAGAAACAAATGACTGGAAGCACTGCAGTCTTTATATTTATATCATAGGCTACAGTGTGAATTTTCTATTATAATATAGTTTTTTATATAAAGTTTTCTACATATGGAAACAAAATAAAATACGATGTAATGAAAATGGTCACATTTTTCTATAGCGCTTTTCCACCTTCAAGACACTCAAAGCGCTTTACAACAAGGAACCACTCACCCATTCACACACACATTCAAAGACCAGTGTACATACACACTGGGGGCGAGGTGGGTTAAGAGTGTCTTGCCCAAGGACACAACGACAGCATTCATCTGTTGGAGCTGGATTCACACCAGCCTCTGTGGGTGGGTGAATCTGACCTCTCAGCCCATGATGTTTTAGCCTGATTCATCTGTTGTTGTTTTTTTCAGTCTGACCAAGCAGCATTAGAATTTGTTCGCTCAACAGTGGGCGGGTACTTTTTTCATTTAACCAGTCGCTGCTATTTGGTTGTGATTTATGTAATGCGCCACTAACAAGGCTAACTGGTATATTAAGCTTTTCCCAAATCCCATAGGAAGAAGGGCAATAATGTCTTTCCCCTTGATTAAATTCACAAAACATTCTCTTTGTTCCGGCTTTAAATCCTCGATCTCAGGAATCATTGCCAACACAGAATGTCTGGCTCTTCACTGATTGGCTGGTGCCCGGACTCACACTCCTGGGGTTTTTGCAAACCGACTAGTGTATTCCGATTCCTGACCTAGTCTCTGGAGAGAAATGAATTTAAGGGGAGGCACTAGGTGGCACCAGCCTGGCTAATGATGTTTATGTCGAGAGCGGGATTCAAACTGCCAACCTTCAGATCAGTGGATGAAAGCTCCACCAACTGAGCTACTGCCGATGATGATAAAATCAAATATTGAATCCAAACTATTTGATCATGTAAAGTAGGTATTCTGACACAAATCTAGCACGCACATGTCATTGCTTACACGCATAACTGGTCCAAACATACAATTTAAAAAAAAACACTTTGAAATGTTACTTATTACTCTACGTCTGCCTCGGGAGCTCAAATCAACGGGCATTTAAATTGTAACAGTGCTTGGAGAACACCGGCAACAGCCAAATCACTGTTCTCTGAGTAGAATGTGAAATAAGTCCTATTTGAAACATTTACACACAGTGGACAAAGTTTTCTCTGACTCCGCTTCATGCTTTAAAACTGCACAGTGCACGGCTCCTCGTTGTTTAATGCTTAACACATGTGAGGGCCACAGTTCAGAGATCACGGGCAGTCTTGTATCTACAGGCCCAATGACCGTGTTACTTTTTAATGTGAACGAGGACTCGCATCATAGATCAGGGGTGGAAAAAGTGGAAAAAGAGTGAGCAGAACCATTTGAAACTGAACACTTCCAAAACACACAAGCTGGTCATCGATTTTAGGAAAAATGTCTCTCATCAGCCTATTTCTATCAGTGGTGTAGAGGTGCACGTTGTTGAAAACTCCACATTTTTGGGTGTGACTCGTTCTCATGACTTGAGCTGGCATGAATATACAAGTGCAATTGCTAAAAAATCACATCGGTTTTTCTTCTTAAGCTTTTACCCCAAACCTGCAGCAGGAAACTTTATTTTTATTTATTTATGTACTTATCTTATCTTTGACTAAAATGATGTTTTAATGGAGTCTTTTACTTGTGCTCATTTTCTGTGGTTTGTGTTTTTAAAATGTTTAAATTTGTCTGTTTGAATGTGTGTACGAATGATGTGCGCTCCAGGCTTCTTGCACCCATTTTTCCGATGTGTTTTTTTATACTCCAAATGACAAATAAACTGAACTGATCTGAGTCTCTCCTCCGTTTGCTCCCCGCAGGTAGTCACTCCCCCTTCAGAGCGCTGTCACAACACAGTCAGTGTGCATCCCGCTAATGAAATTGTACTGTTTTGTATCCTGCTTTTGTATATTTATAGAGCATATATATGGGAGCATGGGTGACGTAGGCGTGTGCTTGAGCTTTGCACAAAATCTTACAGCAAATTGTAAGGAGAGTTTGAATAAGGCCCAGGAGAGATCACTAAATTACTCAAACATGCATGCATCTAAAACCTCTTTGCATAATACACCCTCTTTAAAGGTGCACTGTGTAAAGGGTGAAGGGTCTATTCATTGTGTTTCTTCTTGAAGATGTTATTGGTTTGTCTGGGATGTTTCACAGTATGTTGTTAAATATGGGTGTAACGGTTCATGTATTTAAGCCGAACTGTTTCGGTACGGGATGTTCGATTCGGTGCAGAGCTGTGCATGAGTAAATTTGTGCAATTTGTGTGTGTTGACATTCCGCCACTACATGTGCAGCTACACTGAGGCTCTTTAATATTCATGAGGGAACTCGTCTGTGATTGGGGTGGCAGTGTTTACCGCAGCGCTTTATAGTTAGGATGGCCACCTTGACAACAGTTGCCCCCTGCCTTGACTACGTCCCTCCAAACCATGTAAATCCTTGCAAAACTACGGTGTCACGCCCTGGTCCTCACTTTTGCCTTTCGCCAGCACCGAATCTCCACCCCACCCCCTCTATCCATACCCAAGACCTCTGTCCCTAGAGAAAAGGGCAGGGGACACTGTAACTGCAGTAGATCTGCACTTACTGCAGACAATGTGGATAAAGTTGTTTTTTTCTGGTCAAAAATATGTAGATTCAGTAAAATTTCATGCTGGAACTATTAGTGCTGTGCTTTACTTTTTGAAAAGTGTTCACTGTTTACAAAGAATTTATTTTGTATAATATTTCATTCATTTGTTGATTATTTGAGAATATTTAATTTAACTTATAAGTATTACCAAGCAGCACTTTGCATGTATTTTATTTTAATGTTAAAACAAATTGTTGGTTTAATAAACACACAAATAAGCAACAAGCAAATGGTTTTGCATTTTGTTCCCAAACTGTACCAAAAATTAACTGAACCGTGGTACGTACTGAACCGTGATTTTTGTGTACCTTTACACCCCTAGTATTAAACATTTCTATCTTCATGGAGACCAAACCAGACCGAGTTACAGGTCAGATCTGTGGAGAGGCGACTCCGCTCACAGTCAGAATGCCTGTTTCTCTAGGTATGTATGTATGTATGTATGTATGTATGTATGTATTTTTGAGCTATAAAATGTCCTGTAATTGAATACATGTACTGTAACATAGAGATGTTTAATGTCATACTGTGTAACATTCCCGGCAGAGCAATGACATATCCATAAAAACAAGCAGGTGTTGGACCCCCAACCGAAAAGTTACAGAGTACACCTTCGAGAACAATGCCTTGTCATGTTTCTATCCTAATGATCTGATTATAGGAGACTCACACGAGCAAATGAAAATGTTCAAACTAAACTGGACTCGTCTTGACTGTGGAGGGGTTTTCCAGCAGCAGTGAGGCAGCCGATCAGCACATGTGCGTGGGCCCCGGCATCTCCCCGGTCCCAGGGCAGGTATTACTCCACGGGGCTCTGCTTTAGCTCAAACCTCACAGCCCTGTCCCCCTCTCCCCTTTTGTCCCTCCGCCTTTGTGCGCGCTCGGCTTCGGTTCCGTGTTTGGAATGGTCCCGCTGGGTTTAAGGAGCCAATTTAATGGTGAGAGTCCGCGGCACGAGGGGGACCCAACCCATGACACCATCGGCGAGATTTCAAAGCTCCCCAAGGCCCAGGCACAGGCACAGCACAGGCTCCATGCGGTTTCAATCCAGACTGCGTTTAATGAACTTATTGTGCTCCCCCTACAAAGAGTCATTTGATGTGGCGCTCACTTGTAAAACTCGGAGAATGGGAACAATAAGGACGGCTCAGAAGTCATTCACGTCTTTTGTCAAAATGGCACACTTTGGAGGCATATTATGATTTATTCAGGCCATTTTAATGCGTTTAATACTAATACCTTTGCTTTTGGTATTTCACGTTTTATTACTTAAGATAATGTGTATGTATGGAGAATAAAAAGGTCTTTGGTCATGTTCAAAAAGGAAAAGCCACACAGATCATTTTAGTAACAGACGTGCAAGAAAATGGGTTCAGTTCAGTTTTTTTTCCTTCTTCCCTTGATCTCTTTTGGGTTAGTCTTCAGATTTATTCACGCTTTAGCCTTACATTAGACTCGGTTCAGGCTGAGTTGGGCAGGGTTGGGCTTGGGCAGTGCTTGGATTGGAGACCTCTGGGGACATCAGGTGCCACAGTCGGGCGCCAGTTGTGTCCGCAAACAAGACGCTTCACCCACACGCCTAGAATGAATGGGGCGTGTGTGTGAGGGTTGGTCAGAGGAGCCAGTGGCGCAGATTGGCAGCCTTACAGTCTGCCCCGGGCGACTGTGGCTACAATGGTCTACAATCGACTTTGAGCACCTGGAAAAGTGCTCTATAGATTTATTACTTATTAATATTATTATTAGTTTAGATGTGGGTTAGATATTTTTTGTGATCAAATTTTTATTCAAGTGTTATTATTTGCAGTTACACATAATCCAGTTAGCATTGTATTTTTCTCCCTTTTAAACCCCACACCCCCCACCCTTAAACTCCCTATTGATGGGCATCAACAGAAAACATATGTACACACATACATACACATAAATACATTTACAGGATACACACATATGCATATATAATACATATGAGGGATGGGCATGATTAGTTGATTAATCGATAATTGATCATTAAGAATTTCATCGATTACGTCCATTTTAATTGACAAACCGATTGTAGGTTGTAGTGCGTAGTGTAGCGTGACCAAACAGGGGTCCGTACATGTAGCTCTCTGCATCAGAAGGAGCGAGACACAAAAAGTCAGTCAGTCTGCAACATGCCGAAGCGCAAATGCGTATTTAATGATGACTTGTACAAGAAATTCTACACTTTCCGTTGGGGTCGGGACAAGTGTGAGGCCATGTGCACAGTTTACAAAGCAGCACATATGTTTCAGTGTCCAGTGGGAAAAAGTTTTGCCAGGTGAGAGTAGCACAATGTCAACGACGAGTCCCCACCTCCCACCCCCCGTACGGTGTCCTGGTTTGCCTTTGCTTAGTTTATGCAAATTAGCGATGCGGTTTTAAGTTTCGTTTCTGTGAGATTTGCGCAAAGCTGCATTAAACACATTATAATGTCAAACGGGCTGATGTGGCTCTAGAGTGGTTACGGTTTATATGTCGTAAAGTTGAATTTATTCATGCAGATTAGTAGTGCAGATAGTAATAATAATGATGATCATTTTAATATAAAAACATTAATGATTAATCGATAATGGATCGTTAATTTTCCCGATGATCGATTAAGAAAATTTAATCGAATGCCCATCCCTAATACATATATACAGCAACTATATAAACACAAATACCCATATACACATATTATAGTATATATATTATATATACATATACATGTATATACACATTCACACACACACACAAAACATATCCATATCCAGGTTTATATTCCCTCTATACAAAACACAAATTTCCTCCGTTGAAAGACATCAGCAGAAATTGCGTTACATACATACTTATTAAGTACCATACATATAAAGTTGACTGACTCTAAGAACATATATTATAATGAAAAATCTCCAGGTAACAACTATACAATAGATTCAGATCTCAGTTTGATCAATAGATTGGACCAGCAAGAAATGTTTTTGTTTTTTGCTCTGTGCATTCGAGCAGCAGAAAGCTCCAGTTGAACGATTTCTCCGAAAGATAGGAGCCATTCTCTCACAGTCAGAGGCTGAACTGATTTCCACTGGCATATTACTTTTTTTTTTTTTTTGGCAGCTGTAAGACCTGCTTGTAATATGCAATGATCATTAATTGTCAGACTTAGTTTGGACATGTCATTTAGCAAAAGAAACCTCTGAGTGCAAGGTATGGTTATTCCTATTCATTTAGACATTTTCTCTGTGACGTTATCCCAAAATTGTGCCACCTCAGGGCACTCCCATATCATATATACAAAAGTGCCCACAGTTTTTTCTATGCCAAAATCATCAGTGTGGATTGTCTTTTATTTTCATTTGGTGTAATCTTCTAGGGTAGGAGCGAGGGTTAGATCTAATGGAATTTGGAAAGCTTGTATTTTTTAGTTTGTACTTTGAAAAACGGATAAAGGTTTTGAAAAAGAAAATGATATCTTATGTAAAACCTTCAGCTCTTTTTAAATGCAGTGTTTCTTACCTTTGGATTGTCCTCGTGGTCGCCCAGACGAGGTTTACCAGGCTTCCAGCTCGGCCCGTTGAGGAAAGTTAAGAATTTGTGAGCAATACTTTTGTAATGGGTGGACTTATTCCACAAGTACCTGTAGTAGTGGAGCTAAAGGGAGAAGAGAAAACAAGGCTTAAGTCAACACACAATCAAACGCTACATTTACCTGATCTATGTGAGTCCAGGAGCCAGTGTGATGATTCATGTGGACAGGAAAAGATCAGGTTTTGTACAGCTCTCATAGTGGTTTGTCCAATTTTAAGCAGAGGAAAAACTTTTCTTTAACTGCTTTTCTGCGCCTCGACTATAAGCACTCTGTTTGAAACTAATGTAAGTGCAGAAAAGATACTTAGCCTAAAACCAGCACCAAGGAAAATAACATCCATAAATCATCCAAACGTGTGAGCTAACTTGAGTCACCGGTCTGGAATGACTCTTTCAATTAGGGCCGCAAGATCAATCGAAATCAAACCGAAATGGCAATTTAAATGGACGCAATTAGCAAATAGCAAAAGCTGCAGTTTTTAAAGTACAATAATTATCTCTACAAACAGCAAAATATCCAGTGTAATCCTGCACAAAACTGCTAACACTGTAGTTTAGGTCTGTATAAACATGTTCTGGAATGTGATTCTTGTAATTAGTTTAAGCCACTTTGCCTAAAACGTATTAGAATTTGAAAACGTTTGTTCAGCTCTAACCTGAATGTAGATCATTTCAAAAGTCTTGATGGGGAAGACCAGCCCATAGATGACTTTCTCAGACTCCTCTGCGAAAGTGCCTGTGATGAAAGATATTAAAGATATTACACTGTTTTCTGATCTATGTTACAATGTTGTTCCCTCAACAAAAAACATACCTTAAGTTATATTTTGTTTCATTCACACATGTTTAACACACAAATCTTGCACTTTAAGGTTGAGTTCTTCTCTCAAATAGAAAATAATATATTTCTATTCCAACTTGTGATGTCATGTGGTAATACAGGAAGCTCCACTGTGTTTTTAAACTCCACAGACCTTCATTAGAATAATATGGATAATTTCAGCCCTAGATTTGACAAATCTTTACTAAACAAAAGGTAAAACATAGCTGTTAACTACCGCTTCATGACATCACAAGGTAGAAGAGAGCATTTTGAGTTTTGAAGATGTAAACGGACTAATAATAAAGGGTTACTCAAACATGTGTGAATGAAACAAAACACAACTCCAGTTCTGTTTTTGATGAGATAACAACATTATAACATGGTTTAAGTGTCCTTTTTTTTTTTTCTTTCTGCAACCACAGCACTTAAACATTATCGCCTGAATATGTTATAATTGACTCACCAAAGAGACGGTCCCAAATGATCAGAATGCCTCCGTAGTTCTTGTCGATGCAGTACAGATTTCTCCCTGTAAAAATAGAAGAAGGTAAGTACCCTCACAAGCTTACAGTACTCTCCTCAAGCTTTCATTTAGTTTACTGTCACTCACCATGGTGGACTCTGTGGTGTTTTGGAGTGTTGAAAACCCACTCCAGAGGCCCGAGGTGTCTGATGACCTGAAATACAGACAAAAAGAAACTTAGACAAACTTGATCCACAAGGGAAATGATTTGGACACAGTAGCTCACACATCACAATATAACGTAAAAACAAGAAACAAATATATATATATTTTTTTATTTATTTATGTATTTATTTATTGGTATTTTTTTTATTTTCATTTATCATTTTTTTTTTTTATTTTTTTTATTTTTTTTATTTTTTTTATAATTTATTAATTTTTTGTATGCGTGTTAGTTCTATATTTAGTTAAATGATACTATTTTTTAAAAAAGGCATGAGTAGGAATCATCTAAATGGCAACTATATTACACAAAATTGACTTCTGTGAGACTCTTGTGATGTTATAATGTTTCCTTCTCAAAAACAGACCTGCAGTTGTGATTTGTTTCATTCACACATGTCTGAGTAACTCTTTATTGTTGGGCCCAGTTTACACGTACATCAAGTCATTTCCCGTCGTTTGTACCCATCTTTTACAAACAAACATCCAATTCTACTCTGAAAATGAATCTCCGGTTAGAGCGGAGATTCTGGAAAACTACAATTTGGCGTTGGCGTGCAATGTGAGATCAATGGAGTTTTAGGAGCTGACATGCCAAAAGTGCGACCAATGTTTACCTTTTGCTATGATGATGATCGTGGAAGCATTCAGAGTAGGATTCTGATTGACTTGCAGAGCGTTCTCCTTCTTCCTACACTGCTGCAATTTATACGAACACGTTTTTGAGAACGATACTGTGTGCACGATGTTATTTTGGAAAACGGAGGGAGGGAATATTCTTTTCTCAACATACCTGACTATGTGTAAACGTAGCCTTAGTCTGTCTGTATCTCCAAAGCTCGAAACGCTCTGCTCCACCTTGTGATGTCATGAAGTTGTAGTTTTCAAGTTAACAGCAACAAACAGAAATGATCCAAATGATTCTAGTGAAGGTGTACAGGGTTTAAACATACAGTGGAGCACTTTCTGTATTACCTCATGACATCACAAAGTGGACCCGAGTGTTTTCAGTTTGAGAGAAGAACTCAGCCTAAATATGCAGGGTTAGTGCATCAAACATGTGCGAAGGAAACAAAATACAACTCCAGGTCTGTTTTATGATGAGGAAACAACATTAGAACTGTTACATACTGGCGCCCGTTTGCACATCCCATTGCGTGTATTCTTATAATTGTGTCTGTTTTGTGGCGTGGTTGGTCCGGGTATAAATAGGCCGCCTATCAGTGGTGCGCTCTCTTGCTCCTGCGCTCTCGCTACACACCGCCTCACCCTCCGCACACCTGGGCATGCGCTCGTCGCTTTGCTCGCTCCCTTGTCTTGGCTGCTCGGCACAGACTGCACCTGCCTTTTAGCTGTTAGCCTTTTGTGTTTGACCTGGTGGGACCAGCTGTTGTTTGGTCAGGTTAGTTTGGGGACGTCTTTTTTCCTCTAGGTTAGCGATGTTGGTACCGGCTTCTATGGTCCTGTACGGGGTTGGCCCAGTGCCGCATCATTTTGTTCTGTTTGGCCGGATCACTAGGTCCACCTTTCAGTTGTTACTTTGTTTTTGTACTTTTTTTTTTCTAGCGTTTTTAAAGTAAATTAAAATTAACTTAAAAATAAAAACATCTTTTACTTTTGTAACTTTTTCACCTCCTGTGTCCTCTTTAATATGTTTGATCCACCCGGGTCGTAACAAGAACATAGGTCAGAAGATACTAAGGCTACGTTCAGACTGCAGGGCTTAACGCTCAATTCAGATTTTTTTGTGAAATCCGATGTTTTTGCGAAGTCGTTCACATTTCCAATTAAATGCGACTTGAATGTGATCTCCAGTGTGAACAGTAAATGGCCCGAAAGTGTCCCGCATGCACACTGGAGGACACGATGACGTCAACCGCAGCGAGCGTGCTCTGTATTTACGGAAGTTGTCCAAACATGGACGCAGCATTGAGCACCTGGAGATTTTAAAGTTCCTCTCGTACCGGAGCCAGAACATGAACAACTTACTTGTTTTAAAGAGGAGATTGAGAAGGAGAAGGACGAGGTTTTTGGCCGTGGTGTTTTGTGGAGCAGTGGCAGCGGCAGTGAAAGGTTGAAAGGAACGTGTGGATGTGGAGACGGAGCCAAGAGTGGTGAGTGGTGATGTGCTTCACTTCAGTGACACGGAGTTCATTAACAATTTTCACCTACTTCAGCACAGAATAGTGATGTTTGTAGCTTGTTGATAACGTGTAGGTCGAATGAATGCGCTTTGGCCGTTCAGACTGAAGTCGCATGTCAAAAGATCGGATATGTATCAGTTTTAGGAGCACATATCCAAGTGGCCTGAGTCGCATCTGAAAAAATCGGATCTGTGTGGTTCAGACTGTCATTAAAAGATCGGATACAGGTCACATGGGGGCCAAAAAATTGCATTTGGGTCACTTCAGGCTGCAGTCTGAACGCAGCGTTAGATAAGATAGGCCCTTTAACGTAACCGAATTAATACACACATTTTGAGAGCTTGACATCACTGCTGGTGGTTCCCCCATTCAAATATGAGACGTGTGGAAAAAATCACCTTTCAAAATCACGCCTGGACCACTGTGATGTGCAGCAGACTCACACATGGCCCATTCAGTTTCTCTTTTATGTTTTGTATCAGAAATTCTGACAAACGTCTCGATACAATTCAAACTTTTCCTTTCTTTCTATTTTTTATGGGCTCGTCTGGCAGCTACCCGAGAATTTTATCTTGTATGAAAGGGTCTCCACCACCTCTCTGCTCTCACGCGGGGGGAAAAAAAGTGCCTCAATAAATTCAAAAAACTTCAAAAAAAACTAACCATAAAACGAAAATTACATCCCTACAGAAAATACTGACTATTACGAATGCTTTTTGTAATAGCGCGCTCAAACTGGAAGACGTAATACTGCTGTAAAAGTGATACTGGCTCAGAAAGCGCCCCTTTGCTTCTGTTTGGAGTCTTTTCGAAATCTCATTATTTTTTATTGAAGGCAGGTCCCATGGCTGCGCTGGGGCTGGGGCGAGCGGGCGATTAGCCTTGGCACGGCGCGAAAGAAAAGTGCCCACACAAAATCCTGCCCGTCGCGTTACATTTGTCACTTGTGGATTCATAAAAACAGATTGAGCGTGGCGTTTTGCTCATTAAAACCCGCCTTTAAGAATGATCACTGTTGGCACAAGTCGGGCTAGTCATTTCAGCAAATAAATTTAAGTGTATACAAAATAATTAGGTAAATTTTGGCCAATTTTCTAGTGATCGTTATACTGACAATATTTTTTGACATTTTTATGGAAAATTTCTCTTTGTGGTTTTATAATGACAATTTTTCTGGAGTTGCATGATTCTTTGCAACACTTAAAGGGCTCATGTTACACTGTATTCAGATTTATATTATAATATTGTTTCCTCATCACAAACAGAACTTGAGTTGTGTTTTGTTTCATTCACACACTTAACCCACAAACGCTGTATATTTAGGCTGAGTTCTTCTCTCAAACTGAGCACATTCTGTCCATACAGGAAGTGCTTCTCTGTGTTTTTAAACCTTCCAGATCGACGGTATAGTATACGATACAATGTTTTATATAACCGTGCATAACTTTCCAACTATAAAAGAAAGAAACTTGCTTTTTTTTTCCCTTGAAAAGCTGACAGTTGTTAGTCAGTTAGTGCCACCTAGTGCCTCCGCTCAGTTTAATTTCTCTCCAGCGACTTGGTCAGGAATCGGAATACAATAGATGGTTTGCAAGAATACCGGAAGTGCAAGTCCGGTCAGTGAAGAGACAGACATTCTGTGTTGGAAATGATTCCTGAGATTGAGGATTTAAAGCTGGAACAAAGAGAATGTTTGGTGAATTTTATCAAGGGGAAAGACGTTGTCCTTCTTCCTACAGGATTTGGGAAAAGCTTAATATACCAGTTAGCCCCGTTAGCGGCGATTGGTTAAATAAAAAAAGTGCCCACCTACAGTCAAGTGAATGAACCCTAATGCTGCTAGGTCAGACGGTTTCCATGAAGTGAATCAGGCTAGAAAGTTGCAGCTTTACGAGTACATTTCCGGCATTATCACATATACGCTGTGTGATGTTTTCCACCAAACTCATGTACTCCATCCATTTTGATTGACCCAAACTTTGCCAAAGAGTGTAGTGAGTCAAAATGATCGATGCTCTGAGCATCTTTGTTCATAATAATTGAAAATATCGCTCTAAGTGCAGCTATTTCTCAAATAAATGGCAAATTATGCATCTTGGTTTGCGTAATTGCGCATCTCTTGCTATATTTATTGGAAAGGTTTGTTTCACTCAAATGTACAAATCCAAATGTAATAAACCCCATGGAAATGCAGGAAGTGATGTGGCTCTGTGCCCTGGACCCGACACCAGCTGTTTCCATGACTGCAGCAGGAAAGTCATGGGGCCATTGCACTTTTTAGTTTTGAGGCAATAAGGATATTTTGAGTTTACTTAAAAACTTGATATTTTGCACTTTTGTACCTAAGACCCTAAATTAAGTATTTTTTTATGTCCAAAATGTTTATACAAGTTTTTTGTGTGTTTTGTATGAAAGAGTGTCAATTTTATTTTCCATTTTGTATCATTTGTATTTCTGGTCCTATAGCTTTTATTACAGCCATATGACACAACTACAGCAGCAGATTGTGAAATAACAGGTTGTAATGAAAAAAAGGATGTATAACACTTCATTAGGGGGTAAAAGGGGGAGCTTTAATACCAAAATTAAGGAAAAAAAGGACAAATGTGAACTCCATACACCTTCACTAGATTCATATGGATAATTTCTGCCCTGGAATGATCAAGTCTCTACTGAACTAAAGGTAAAAGATACAGTAGGTAGGTTCATGACATCACAAGGTGGAACAGAGCATTTTGAGCTTTGGAGATGTAAACAAACTAATAATAAAGAATCACTCAAATGTGTGAACGAAACAAAACAGAACTCCAGGTCTGTTTTTGATAACATAACAACATTATAACATGACTTAAAGCTCACAAGAGTCAATTTTACGTAACATAGGACTCTTAAAGATACACTATGTAACTTTCCGGCAGTGGATCGTCATTTACCTCCGTGTGAATCCAGAACTGGTACAGGAGGTTCAGCTGGATGTGGACTGCAAAGGCAGAGGGAGGAACCAGCAAGGCCAGAGGCAAGTAGAAAATCTGAAGGACAAAGGCAGATGTTTGAACACAACTTATCTTGGGTTTAATGTTTCATATTTTGCTTTAATTTTTTGTTTTACTTATTGATTTTTTCCATAATTCGAGCATATATATATAGATTACACAATGCAGCACAGATTATGAAACAAAACAAATAAAAAAAAGAGGACAGTGAGCAACAAGAGAGTTCATCTTTTCAACTCAATCATTACAGATTTGTGAAGTTATAGAAAACTTTAAGTGGTTGCCAAGTAGAAGAAAATGTTCTCAAATTTCCCTGGTGTATGTACCTTATTTTTTCTAATTGGAGCTGTTTCATAATGTCTTTCATTAAGATTGAGTAAGATGGGGGTGGTGTTTGTTTCAGTTTATGTACCACACTGATTTGAGGGCGTGATAGATGCCAACTTGACTCCAAAGAGCAAGTATTGGACCTGGCTTTTGCATTTCAATCCTTTTATGAGTCTGTTATGTGCTGTGTTTTTGACTTACCCATGAGGTGAACTGCTGGCTGATGGACTGACGCAGGGCTGTGGTCAGGTTGTAGTACTCAGAGCTGTGGTGAACCTGGTGAGCTGCCCACATAAAAGCCACCTCTGAAAACACAAACACACACGGAATTACTTGCTGTACCTAAACTAATCCTTCTGTTTCTATGGGAGTTTGTTCCAGTCTGATTTATCAGCCAGTTTCACTTCGTAGAAACCGTCTGACCTCGCAGCATTAGGATTTGTTTGCTCAACGGTAGGCGCCGCTAATGGGGTTAACTAATATATTAAGCTTTTCCCAAGTCCTGTAGGAAGAAGGGCAATAATGTCTTTTGATAAAATTCACCAAACATTCTCTTTGTTCCGGCTTTAAATCCTCGATCTCAGGAATCATTGCCAACACAGAATGTATGGCTCTTCGCTGATTGGCTGGTGCCCGAACTTGCACTTCCAGGGTTTTTGCGAACCGTCTAGTGTATTCTAATTCCTGACCACGATTGGTGTGGTCTTGACTACATCACTAGCTGACAATGAACTAGTTTGTTTTATGAAGTTGTTTCAGATGAATATTGTGATGTCAAATGCCCAAATGGTAACATAATGATCAGACTAGAACTATACAGCAGACACAAGCCCTTTAGGTCCTCTTTAACGCTGAACAACAAGAGCATTCATTCAAGAGCTTTTCAACTTTTCAACATTACAGATTTGTGAAGTTACAGAAATCTTTAAGTGGTTGAAAATGTTGTGTAAGTATCTTATTTTTTTCTAATTGCAGATCTGGGGTTCTTGCAAACCGTCTAGTGTATTCCAATTCCTGACCTAGTCACTGGAGAGAAATGAAATTGTGCGGAGGCAGTAGTTGATGACACTAGTTTGTTTCACCAACAGACTGAGAATTATACTGTCCATTGCACTATACAAGAGACTATACCAACACTGAAGACAAGCAGATTTGGATGTGCATTCAGCCATCCATCTCCATCTTAAAACCACAAACCCCTGTTTTGGAAATCATTACATCAGTGGCCTTTTGATGGTTTCTTTTAATGGGTTTAGGTTGTTCATTAATGGTCTAGGGTTTTAACTTGCTACCTAGTAACTTACTGTAATTCTGTTATCCTGTGTAGAACATTCTGGCCTTCTGCCTCCACAGTCTGTTGCTCAGATCAATACTAACTTGTTTTTCTACTGATTGTTGACCAGTCTTGTGTTGATTTGTCCTCGGAGGAGGATTGTGTTTTATCCTATGTGTTTGCATCAGTCCTGTGTCTTATGCCAGTTCGTGGGGTATAAATACTCTGTAGGCATTGTTATGTTGCAGCTTAGGGACGGGTAGTTCTGTGAATGTGCGCACAATTGCTTTAAAGGGACAGTCTGGAATTTTGGACATAGGCCCTCATTTCCTAGTGAGCCAGAGTGTTGGAGACGTGTGGAGACACTTTTTAAAAATTTTCCATACAGTCCTTGTATTTGCAGAGGTCGCTGGTGCTAGGCTAGTGCATGTCAATGGTCATAGTTAGCCTTCTACTAAAACAGTTTTACCCACTCCACAAAACACCAGAAGCAAAACTATTATTACACCAGACTGTCCATGTAAATGTCTGTGTCAATAGTATCATTTTAGAGATAAAACCATCCTTGCATTTGAAGGATTTCTGTCTGAGCAGCAGCAGCGAGTTGTGCTTCCTGATAGAAAGCTTTGCAGCGGCGGACTGATATATGAGAAAATAGTCCCTCAACATGTGACAATTCAAGTTTAGTTTTATTTCAAACATTATTATATCAACACAGACATTTACATGGACAGTCTGGTGTAATAATAGATTTGCTTCGGGTGTTTTGTGGAGTGGGTAAGACTGTTTTTAGTGGCAGGAGAACTACAACCATTGACATGCACTAGCCTAGCACCAGCGACCTCTGCAAATACAAGGACTGGATGGAATATTTTTAAAAAGTCTTTGGATGTCTTTGGACACTTTGGATAACTAGGAAATTAGGTCGTATGTCCAAAATTCTGAACTGTCCCTTTAATAAATCAGACTCCTTGATTTCTGACAACTTTTCAGTTCTTTTATTGTTTGTAGTCTAGAAATTCCACAATAATTTGGCGTCAATGACCAGTTCTTTCATCCAGTTCTTTTTCTGTGATTTTGATGAGGTGCAGATTAGAAAGGGCCCAGATGAGAGATAATGTTGTTTCCTCATCACAAACACACCGGGAGTTGTGTTTTCTTTCATTCACACATGTTTAACACACAAAAGCTGCATATTTAGGCTAAGTTCATCTCTCAAACAGAAAACACTGTTCCACCTTGTGATGTCCAGATGACCACTGATGAAACCTTCTTTGCATTTTTATTTATTTATTTATTTTTTTGCATTTGTTGTGTTTTGATCTAGTCTTTTAGAACTTGTAAAATTACACAGTTACACAGCTACCACAATTCTGTAAAAAATGTAAAAAATGCTGCAGAATACAGTAAAAAATGTTCTCAGTGCCTCAGTTGCCATGACAACACTGACCAGAGGTGAGTAGATAATAACATAACTTTACTTCAGTCTAATATTACTCAAGTAGAAGTACAAAGTAGTAGTCTGACTCAAGAGTAAAAAAGTATCTGTGAAAACTACAGCTCAAAAGTAATCTGATTTATAATTTGAAGTGAATGTAATTGGATGAACAAAGCATTACATAATCTCCAAAATCTGGTATTTTCAAAGGACATACACAAAAAATTTGAAAAGTTACATGATATCTGAAAGAATATATGCAAAAATGATGTTTCATGTTAAAATCAGTTTATATTAAATGAAACGCTTAAGTTCCTGTAGAGGTTTAAATGCAAGTGTCATGGGTTGTTTTTGATGAAAAAGAAATAATCTGGCGTAGTCAAAACAGTGTTGGTGATTTTATTAACAGAAGCGCATTAAATAGTGAAAAATGAAAATAATAAATATATTTACAGTTAGTACCAGCTCTTAAATAGCTCCGGAACACCACTGAGAGGACCCTTTTATAGTACGAGGCTCCTCCCCCAAATCAATTAATAATGAAAAACTGTATTTTCTCCACAAATAGAAACAGATACATTCCCTCTATTCCCTCTTTAATACTGAAAAATCATAAACATTACCATAAACGGAAATACACACAGCACAGATAGGAAAAAATTATGTTATTTATTACAAAAACGGAACATCACATTACTCGTGACGCAACATAATGCAGAAAACCGACTGACACTCGAGTTGGCCGACTGACACATGCACTGAGGAGACGGTGGACATGGAGGAAAGTTGGGCAAAGAAACAAAGGCTATGGGAGGAAAACTCAAGGATAGCGGTAAACGGCCGGGTAAGTGAAACGCCGGTATGAGTGTGCATGTGTATGAAAATCAGCACAGGCCTCCCCGCACGAGCTAACGGGATTACTTCTTCACAGCAGGGAGCAGCACCTTAAAAGTGAAAAAATGCAGAGCACACTCAGGACCTTTCATTTAGACGTGACGGAGTTTTTGGGGCTTAAAAATGCAAAAATCTGAAACCACCGTCCAGAGTGGAAAAGTTGAATACGCTCCGCTGTAGCGTTTCTGTCTACACTGCCCAAGACGCAAAACTCTGGTCAGATCTGCACACGTCGCATACACATTTACGTCACATATATCACCATCACCACCTAGCCTCCTGACATGCAAACCCAATCAAATTCCACACACTTTTGCATCACCATATGTACGCAGATTTCCTCCTGAAAACGCTCATCTGAATGCAGAGTAAAAAGTGAAAACGTGACGCCACTTTTGCATCTTCTGTTCAGACCGTCATCATATAAACATAGCCTTAGTATACCGTATACTGTGGTCCAAAGCAAGAAAAATTATCTGACGAAGGCTTTTTACTGAAACATTATTAAAAAATAATAATAATAATAAACTTTTGGGCATCGGACATCTGAGTGTGCTCTACATTTTTTTCCACTATTAAAAATCTGTTCATATTGTCAACATAAAGCTTTTGTATTGCAGTTTTCCAGGGGAAAGAGCTGCATCTGCGGCTGTAGTCTGCCCTGCATTGAAGACATTTACATCAGCAGGTGCAGGACAAAAGCCCACAGCAGCATGGAAGACTCCACCCACCCAGCACATGGACTTTTTACAGCTCTTCCGTCAGACAGAAGGTTGCGCCACCTACAAGCCAGGACCACCAGACTATGGAACAGTTTTTATCCTGATGCCGTGAGACAGATCAGTTCTGTCAGAAAGCCCAGACACTAATGCACCTTACAAAAGAGCACTGACTTGGAACACACTTTAGAAAACAGGGGCATGTGGGGACTGTTTTTTAAAGACTGTATTTGACATACAATATTTTAACTATTTATTCTTATTATTATCTATGCTGCTGTTGACCTGGACCTAAGTGCAGTATTTCATTTCTGTGTATTTTTTTATACTGAAATGACAAATAAATTCTGATTCTGATTGTGAAAACTGCCATATAAAAACTCAGTAAGATCAGAAAGAAGCCTTTTGTACGGCAATTTTCCTGGTTTTCAATTAGCATGCTAAAAGCAAACTTCCTATTTCTCTGAAGATAAAGATGCAGACGCCACGTAGTGGACATATTTTAACCTTAAGAGCTGCTTTAATATAATACTGTATATTGAGCAAGGTGTATTCTGCTCAGATACATGGGAAAAGAATCAAGTACGGGACATTTAACTTCCTCAGCTGTAGCGTTGAGCCGTGGTGAAAAGCTAAAACCTTTCGGGTGTCCAGCTCTAACTCTTATGGAGCTTTTCCTCCAGCTGGTCAGAAATCCCCGCGCTCCTTTTTACATTCCTCCAAAGCCTCGTGATACTCGCCACGTTAAAATCGACATTTCAAACCTGCGAAATTCAACATGCTCGTTAGGTTCCACTGGATACAGAGAGCGTTTCCGGACCACCTCTGCTCCTGTGTGCTTTTTGGCCCTCGCGCAGGTACAGTAAGCTCAGAAAGAAGTAGCCCGGTAGTCTCCTGCAGGCTGTGTACGTGCTATAATGTCTTCTATATAGTTGTTAAGTGAGGTTAAGAGCTCAGAGGGGCCCCAAAGAGAGGTGGAAT